GTATCACTTTACAAATGCATCCTATTGTGGAAGTACTAGAGAAATAGCTATAGTTGTTCCATTTGTGAAGGCCTGTTACTTATCTTTTGCAGTGAAAGAAAAGTGGAAGCTTAATGGAATGATGAAACATTCAGACTGGGCTGCACCAGTAGTCTCACAACCAAATAGCTGTCTGTTTGTGTAGTGATAATATAAATCATCAGTAAATCTAGCAAATAAACTGGAAGAATACCATTCCCTTGATTGATGAATTATTTTGTATCTTTGCCTAGTGGACAAAAGTTCAGTAAGTTGAATTTAAGTCAAACCTATCTGCAGGTACCTCTTAATGATGTATAAAATCCAAATGCTACAATCAGAATAACTATCATGGAATGTTTCATTACAATGGACCATTCAGTATCTGTCTATATTTCTGAAGAAGGTCTGAGCGTACAATGGACAAAACATTGTAATAAATATGGAGACAAAGATGAGGACAATAGTCCGAATAATGTAAATAATGTACAATGGACCATTGTTTGGGATTTCAAGTGTGTCAGTGATATTCCAGCGGATAATGAAAAGTATTCCTCATATAGCTGCATACATAGATGTTATAACTTCGACCAGTCAGGCTGATGTAGAATAAATAAAAATCCTCAGTTAAGTTTGAGATGGAATTTAGCTGGCTTAAGGTTGAACAAGTGTAAATTGATGCAGTTGGAGATAGCTTACCTTAGATATAGGGTGTCAGCAAAAAGGTTAAAACTCATGCCTGAAAAAGTGAAAGCTGTAAAATAAGCTCCAATTCTAAGAAATGTGACAGAACTTCAAGTATTTCTATGCCTAATAAATTATTATAGCAGGTTCATAGCAAATGTAGAGCATGTGTTGGAACCACTGTGGAAATAGAAAACTCCTGAACAGAAAGTTTTCCAAAGGAAATAAACAGAGGATACAAGAATCAAGATTATACATCCATCATCACCACTCTTTTATGTTTGTGATGCATCATCATGTAGCTTATGGGCTGACATTTCCAAAATGATGAGGAAACACAAAAACCCACTAGGTCTCATGTCAAGAAGCTTTGCTGCAGCAGAAATTACTCCCAATTTGATAAACAGATACATTGACCATTGTATTCAGGAAGGAAAATGGCTGTCATTTTACCCTTTATATTGATCACGAGATTTTGTTGTGAATATTTGAAAATAAAGGTTTCACACAATTGATTACAACGGTGGTGTTTACTCATGTCTGTGTTTGACATCAACTACAAACCTGGCAGTGATAATAGAAATGTCAATACCTTAAACTGTTTACCCTTTACCTGAGACTAAAAACTGAAATGTCTGAGTTTGTGCATTTGTTAGAATATGTGAATCAAAATTTTGTGCCATCTCAAAGGAGACAATCTATAGCCTGAGATTGTCTAATCTACTGAAATATGTCTTATCCAGCTGGCTGAGCCAAGTTACTTTGATAAGAACCCCACATCTTATCAACAAGGCCACCATGGTGTTTTTTATTATGTAATAATACTCCAACTGGTCAGGCAGCAAAGATTTACTTGAACTACTTGGGTGGCATCAGGATAGATCAGGTGTGAAAATCACTAGTATACAGGATTAACATATTACCAAGAAGGCTTTCGCAAACTAGAAAATTATTGCAGTTGCATTGCTGATGAGCCCAAGTAATGATGAAGAATTCACATTGGTTATGTATATCCATTGATGAACCAAATGTTTCTAGTTCTGATTGGATCTTATTACAAAAAGATGGATGTTTAACTAATGAATGGAAGTCAAATGGCAATCAACTTATGCTTGTGTTATGTAAATTATGGTATTCTAGAAATGATAGGTGATGACAGTTCTCATGACATGTTCAAGGAACTTGTGGAAAGAATCATATTCAACTATACCACTTATCAAGTAATGGTTTGGCTGAAAGAGCCATCCAAGTCTTAAGAAATGGTATGAAGGTGTTCTCAAAAGACAACATCTTTACTCAATTAGCTATATTCTTGTTCACATATCACAAGTTTCTTCAGCAGAAATTCTGATGAAATGAAAATTATATTCTTGTCGGAAGTACATCTTCGCTGATTCCACTCCTAAGATGAGGGTTACAACAAATGAGCCTATAATCAACATGTCTGTCAATGAAAGTTCCAAGAAGGAGGTCATGTGTTTGCGCTATTATGTGAAAAACAAATTGGACCATAAAGCTATATGAGGGTCAAATGCCATGAAGATAATATGCAATCCAGAGCTTACATTGCTACAAATGCTGAAATGTGTCTCAACTTTGGTGAAAATTGAGAAAGATAAGCCAGAACTCTCAGACACTGATTTACCTATACCAAAAAAAAATTGTTGTACATTAAGTTTATCATTCAGTTGGTGGTGCCCTTTTCTCTTGTAGGAAGCCCTGAATGTCCAACTGTTCTTATGGCAAGAGATTTTCCAGTTCCTGCTTTAAGACTATATATACATGTGAAGAAAAATCCAGGTAAACTAAGTTTAAATCAAGAATGAATCTTATCTTAATACAAAATTGTTATTGTAAAGAACATTACTGGTGAACATACAAAACAGATTTGAATCATTATTTTAAGAATTGTGTATTTCAGACTTATATTGTGTTTATTTGATACTGTTAAGAGTAGGTACAGTTTTAAGTACTTTAAGCTGAGGAAAATAGTAACTTGTCAGCTCCTGCAGAATAAAAGAGTTTTGTACCATGTACAGAGCAGGAGAAGGTTATGCAATCTTAGCTGAGTATATATATTAAGTGGTAACCACCTACTTAATAATTACTCTTTTTATATTCTGTTAAATCATTTGTTACGTAAAATTACCAAAATTAATTTATTTTCAATGTAAATAAAATCATGATGTTTCTATACTTGTTTATTAATTAAACATTGATCATTAGCAAGTGTGGTTATCCAAATGAACATGGACAAATATATTTATCTACACATATATTTAACATTGTGTAGATATTGTACCAAAATCTACATATGAAACATAGGCCAACTGTTATGTTTTCTTAATTAGTTTTAAATGCAGCTTAATTAGCAAGTTTAATTAATCAGTTGTAATGATGCATATCAATAATTTACCAAATGATAGCAGAATTGTAATTGAAATATTAAGTAATTATGCAAAAAATTCTTGTTTGTCTTGAACGTAAATTCATAACATATAAAAAGCAGCAGAATGTTTTACGTTAGTAAACCTATCCTTTTGATAGCCAGCATCCTGATTATATATATGAGAATAGTTTAAATAACAGAAATCTAATAGAACTAGGTTTTACCAAATAGCCACATATGTTTCTAACTTTGTCGTATGCATTAAAACAGTACAGAAATAAATACTTCCTTTATTTCTCTTGTGTGAGCCAAGTTTTCTTTGCTCTACTTGTGGATTGAAGTTTTAAAATCATGAATGAAAATTATTATTGTATTCAAGAAAAAAAAAAATTTAAATATATACATAAAAAATACTTTTTAGCAAATTGTCATACTCTTGTGTTTAAATAAGAGACTGAAATGTCTAGAAACTGTGTATTACTAATGAAGTTGGTTTATTAGCCCACAAAGTTCATAAGCAGGAAATATATCATTTTTTATTATCTTACATAATTACATTCATTTTCTATGGTTTATGAACCCTTTTTAACATATTTAAAACCAGAAAATATTTTTAAAGCATAAGAATTTTTTGAGACATTGATATAGTGCTACAAGTCTTACTAATTAACCCATAGCTGGAGGGGGAAAAGGTGAATTCATACCTTTCCCAACAGTATTTATGCATAAGTGAACATAAACCTAACTGGAATTGGAACTTGGCCTTCTGATTAATAATTTTAAGCCATTATCCATTATACCACCTGCACACCCAAGCTTACAGAACATGGTATTCCCAAGTGATCACCCATGTAGGTAATGACCAGGCTATGATGATGCTATTTCACTGTTATGATTTTAATTAACACCTTGTTCACAAGAATGTGTACAATATGATTTGTGTAAATTGATGAAAAGTAATAACCAAAAATTTAACCCTCTTCAATTAGTCTCATATTGAATTTATACACACATTATTTATAGTTATGTATACATCTGCCTGATTATGTATATAAATACATTTCTTATGGTGTATGCATTAATACTGATAAGACTTAAACTGCACTAGTATGATTGCTGCCATTTTACATTGCAACTTTAAGATTTTCATGCCTATATGATTTCATATATAGATGCAACGTGTCATTACACACTCATATTTCAACTATGGAGATGTAAATATTATTTCAATATATATGCCTATAAGAACATGTGTCTTTATTCTTATATATAGGTGACTGTAGGCCATTATAGAGAAAGACAGGTGTCTAAGAATGAATGAATGCACATATGTGATTAAGTCATCAAACTCCAAAAATTTGCCAATCACAAATGAACAGACAGTCACATTAATATGATTTTATGAAATCTATATTGATGGACAAAATCTCCAAGGAAATCAAGAAAAAAAAATGATTAATTTGGCTGCAGAAGACAATTTTACAAGTCTTTAAATTAAGAAATGTAGGCTTTCATAGCTTGTATTTTCATATCATTTTGTTACTTTTGATTAATAATATCAGTATCTAGCAAAAGGTTCACTTTTTCTACATTCATCTCATTACAAACAAACTATGCATCTTCCAAGTATTTGATTTCACAGTTTTATTTTCAAATTCCCATTATGAAGAGTAGAAATTCAGACTCCACATAAAAGATAATTTTGTTTTCTTTAGAGAGTTTTACAAACAAGCATGTCCCAGTATCAATGTATATGTAGTGAGCAAAAAGTTTGTTGATATTCCAATTTGAAAAAAAATGTCCTGCATTCGGAAAAGAAATTCTCAGTATATTAATAAATAGCTTGAGTAGCTGAATCCATAGATATTCTTGAATATATTAATAAAAATAAGTAACAAAAGTAGCTTACCTTTTGATATTCTTCCATCATTGCTTTGTACTTTTCAGGTAGATTATTCACTCTGTTCATCATGATTCTCCAAACAAGGTAATTTGCCAAAAGTCTATTAAGAAAAATGTTGAAGTAAAATTTTAAATCAATCCATATTCTTTATTTAAATATAACAATTTAATCTGCCTAAACAATGAATAACATTAAATGCCAAATAGTACATCTGTTAATTGTGCTGGTATTAGTTGAAAACAATTTTTTTTTTGAGAAATGAAAACCTGCTTAAAGTAAAAGAATTTAAGAAAAACAAGCTTTTATCAGGGGATTTGAAAACCATCTGATGAGTGCAATAAATTGCTTCAACCTTGTAAAAAAATGTATAAAATATTTAAACATGTTAGGCAATAGTTAAAAGTAAAATCTTTATTCATTTACAAGTTATTGATTATACAAAGACACAAATAAAATGTTTACTGAAATTTTTTTTTTTTCAATCGAAGGTAAATCATTTATAAGAAAAAAAAAGATTGACCAATGTATAGAACAAAGTGTATCCAACCAATTTGATCTAAAATTTACATGTTGATTTGAATTTTCTTCTTGCTTTAGAGATTTGTGAATTACTAAACATTTTTTAATATAAGAGGGAAAAGAAATTGATTTTAAAAGGACAACAAACCAAAATCTTTGTGGCATTTTTTAATGTAACTTCTTTCCTCAAGTGATAATTCACTTCATAAGAGCTCTTAAAATTGTTACCTTTGTATTTTCCTTTTTCCCCAAATAATTCAATAATATTTCTTCAATAACTTACTTTTATACAGATATATCTCTTTTATTTGATTTTTTTATGCTTAATGGCATTTCAGTAATGCAGATGGCAGCAGGACACACTGTTGCCAATGTAGTTTGACAGTATAATTAGATTTAAAGGGATATTTTCTAGTCTAGATGTTTGATGATTATCAGTGAAATTGTTGTTGCAACTAAAACTAAATTATCTTTATTGTGAGTAAACAAAAATGCTTATAATTGTTTCTGCAAAATTAATTTACCTGATGTAAGTATAAAATTTTATTTTCTCTAATCCAACTTATTGATTATCTAAGGAGTTTGATTTCTAGCAAAAAAAGAAATTCTTTATCAGTAGTCTTTTTGGTGCAAAACTAAATTATTTTTTCTGAAAAAGAAGATACCAAACAACCATTTATTTATTTAGAGCATGTATTGTTTTGTCACCTTTTTTTTATCAAAATATTTATTTCATATCCTTGTGTGTGTATATATATATATATATATCTTTCATTTTTGGCAAGCTGACACCTATTAATTATTTTGGATATTCAATCAATGTACTGTAAAATTATTCTCTGCTTTGATATCTTAAATGTTATAAGAAAAAATAAAAGAAACTATTTTACTGATTCAATAAATTTAGATTTAATTTATTTTGATGTCTATGTGCTCTAATTCTCATACATATGTGAGAGAAAAAAGACCTTTTAATGACATGACATTCATATGCTACAAGGGGTATTTATACATAATATAAAAAAATAAACAAATATTACAAAAAATGGATTTCTTCCATTAAAATAAATAAAATACAGTTATTATTTCATGTAGGTTTTTCACTCTATACTTGATGTAAAGGGAGATCCTAGGCTGTTTTTAGAAAGCTTTATGATTAAAATATTTTTGTACACAAGCTGCTTATGTGAAATGTCATGCACTTGTATATAGTCATGTATTCATTCATTCTGATATATCATAATCGGAGCTATTATACAGTGCTCTCTGTACAAATGCATAACATATTTATACCAAAAATGTATTACAGTAAAGAAACACAATCAAATTTTGGAAGATAAAAATGTGTCAAAAGCATAAAATGTTAATAGGATCATTTTTACTTTTTATGTAACTTGCTGATTTGCAGGATATGCAGATAAATGTTTATTACTGTATAATTTTCTCGTTTTGAATTATTGAGTATCTTAGTGCAACACAGAAGATATAAAAAGGAAATGATTTAAAGCACAAACAAGACAATATATTATGTACCTGCTTTAACCAAATTTTCTTTAAACTTCAAGTTAAAAAAAAAAAGTTATTTCAGTTTGTTGTGCTTAATATTGTCATATTTTTAACTGAAGTATCTCCCCTATGGTTTGTTTGATACTTGATTGCAACTTCTACAATACATTGTTGCTATACTGTTTATTAAACTGCAGTAAATGTTGTGTGAGAGTTCAGAATTATAGTTTTCTTATAAAAGAGATATGTCCACACTAAAAACAAGAGTAAGTATTTTTATTGTATTCTAAGGTCAGAATTTAGCTAATGGGCTTGGTGTTAGTTTTATTTGGTTAAACTCATATTTTAATTACTTTATCATCGACACATTTCTCACAAATCAAAGTTATTTCATTCTCTAACCAGCAATATTATGATCTTGACTGTTTCTTGCAGCTTTAAACAGACATCAGATTACAAGTTTTATAATTAACTACCTGATAAAGTTGAATAAAAACAATAACATTCTATTCATCACAATGAAAAGTCTTATTCACTATTAAAATTGACATTTTGTATCAATCACACATTGATACTCTTATATTAAGTGTATGGTAGCAAGAAAAAGGATGAACACTAGAGTAAGGTTGAATATATATTCTGGGAAAATAAAACAAGGACGATATATACACTAGGAGCTCATTCAATAAAGAATGCTGTGGTTTGAGGTTGAAGTTCGTTCAGGAGGATGGTAACTGATGCTCGTTTGGTTTCATGTGAGTGGTGTGGACAGGAAGTCTGGAAGTAGTGATGGTGGGCGGTAGGTCAGTCTGGCTGCCATGGTGTGTGTTTTTGTGGGACAAGGCAAGCAAAAAAGCCACTGACAAGATGAGACTATTCCTTTTTTGTGACTTGCGGGGTTGTATTTATGTTACTTCGGTGGATCAAGAAGGCACCTGTGTCTTTGGTTTGTGATGCCTTCCAATTGGCTGAAAAAGCTTAATTGTTTGTTACATGACTGCTTGCCACTATATCCACCAGTCAGTTACCTCAAGAGAACCTGTAAGCCATTCTAGTAAAGAAGGGTCCATGAATTGCAACAAAATTTGATAAAAACAATACATTTAAAAAGAAAACTTACTTTTAAGTCTTTTGTTAATATCACGCACAATTGTATAAATATATCTATAAGTTTGCACTAATCATAAATATTGTTACATTTGATATTTTACAACTTAAGAATTAAATTTCCAAATGTTATTCAACTCAAAACAATATTATCTAAAAATTTTCAGTCATTGCTAATTCTTGACTAGTATTCCTTTTAACTTAATTTCCTTTGCTTTTTATCACAATTACCAGATCTTCATTCAATGAACATTAGTAAGCAATATGTATCATGAAAAAATATCTCCATGAAGACTTGAATTCATATCCCTTAAACTTGTGATATATGTCTTATGACTGATTAAACTACAAGTACCAAAATCTGTAATAATTCAAATGTAACAAGATGTGGGATATGAAAATGAAAGAAATACTAATCAAGAATTAGTAATGACTGACTTAAAACATTAGTTAATAATATTGATTAATAATACTGAAACCAACACAACTGAATATAATTGAAATTTACTGAAATACCCTAGCTACTTTCATATATTATAAAAGTGATGTTTATAGTAATAAAACAAACTATTTCTAAATTAAGCTATTTAGAAAATAATGACTGAACTGTCAACAAATTTATTTACAAGTAAGGTTATCAATCAAAATATGAATAATTTAAGCTTATAATGAGAATGAGAAATAAAACTATTTATAGCTTTAAATAATCATAAAGATGTTTCCTGTTTTTGTTAATTAAAAAGTCATCCAAATGTTTGAAAAAATGGTAATCAGTTGGGGAAGAAAAAACAAAATAAAAGATATTACTGTGCCATTTGTGCAACATATAACTAGACATTATTATGGAATACTAATAACCCTTTTTATTTACTAATTTTGAATTTGTTTCATAGGATTTTTTGTACATTTCTTTAGATTCTTGACAATAAATTTTAGTGATTCACAGTTTGTTGGTACAACTATGATTTGAAGCTTCATTGAAATCAAGTTGTGTAAATCATTTCTGGTTACTGTATAGAATCCACATTTCATTCAGTCAGAATTTAGATAAATTTTGTTCTGAAACTTTCTCTGATTTTAGGTGAGGTGACATGGCCAAATTTCTTTATGCTTTCAATTTGTTCCAGGTGTTGAAATTGAAAGCTTTAATTCTAGGACAATTTATCCAATAGTTTAAAAAGGATTTTCTTTTCATTCATGATTTCATAGTGTAGCAGGACACCCACTACCCACTTCATCACTGAAACTCACATATCTATGCCAGAACTTGAGAAATCAATCATGTTGTAATATTACAATGAAGTACAAATAGTACTTGCATATCGTGTGCATAGGTATGGGTTTCCATACTTATAAATGGAACCTCATGATATAACTGGAAATGGTCCAATCATTAATTTGAAGAAGTCATCAAATTTTTGATTTTCATTACACATATACAGTGCATTTTGAAGTTATACCTTCTCTTCATGTCTGATTAATATTTGAAGCAGTCTGAGATAACACTGGGATCAAATTTAAGTTCATGCAAGAAAAGGATGTATAATTCTTTAATGAAGTCTGGGTCTGTGGAAGAAAAACATTGTGAATCTACAAAATATAAATGTGAACTAAAAAAACATTCAGCATATATTTTATTTCAACATTATATATATATATATATATATATATATATATATATATATATATATATAATTTATTTTCAGACACTAAAAGATGTTAAAAATTGCTACATAATGGCAATTTTATATATATATATCCAGGAAAAATGAGAATAAATGGAGTATAATTCCACTGTACATAATATTTAATTTAAAAGAGGGATCAATACAGAGTAGAGCTAAATATTATTTTAGGACACTAAAACATGTTAAAAATCGCTACACAATGGAAATTGTATTCCCTCAGGTGATGTTAAACTATTGTTACATTAGATTTTGTTAATGATGTATTCCAACCTTATGGAAAATAACCCAAAATATATATTCATCCCAATTCTAAACACCCTCCATCTGTAATCAAACATATACCCTCATCTATAGAATGTATGGTTAGGGTTCATACTGTGGCAGGTCACCCACTACCCACTTCATCACTGAAACTTGCATATAAAAACTGATATAAAATCACAAAATAGTTAATGAACGTAAATATGGTCTAATATGAACATTTTTTAATTTTAAAAATGAAAGTACAAGACTAAAGAATTAAAGATATAGTAACAATAGAAGGTTAGATTAGAAGTATATATGGTTAAATTTGGTATTTTAAGTGTAGACAGTTTATAGTAAAATGTTCTGATAGCAGTAGCAACACTAATTTGTTGAATACTCATTAAATTGCTATAGTATTATCAGTTAATAACGTTTAATGAATATTTGTAGTGAATTATTTATAAACCAAAAAAACTACTTTAATTATAACACAGTATAAAATTTTGCATTTCCCATCAACAATGAACCAGCTGATAAATTGTATCAGCAATGTTTTTCAATTAAATCGACTAACTGCTACTTAAATTTCTATTATAAATAGTATAAACTAGCAGTTTTAAGACTAAAATCTAAGTCAACTGATATGTTACTTCCACATAAAGAAACTTTATTATTAATGTCAAAATCAATTGATCCTGACAGCTTACAGTTAGACTCTTGATTTATTTGCAAAGGAAAAGAAATATTTTTGGTCAGTTTATCTTTCTTCACTTCACTGTCATAACAATCTGCATTGAATCATACATAAAAAAAAATACTCAGCAATATTTATAGATACATGAAAACATTCATAAAGTACTGTTTTTTTTTTTTTTTTAATTTTTTGTGATACATGTATGTTTGGCTAATATTTTTGCCCATGTCTATTTTTATAGAAAAATTTCCTCATTGTCATTTGTGATGATATCGCATTAAGCATTTCTTCATTGTAGATAATATCTGTATATACTTACTTTGTATATTATTGTCAATGGTGAATTTATGCATGTTACCTAAATGCCTCTATATTTAATTTAACAAATACTGATGTATTCTCATTTAAGGGAGCTTGTATTTTTCATTGTTTAAGTTATCCAGGTATTAGTGATATAACAGAAAATCTTCAATTCATTTGTTTGTTTTGTTTAATATGTTTTTATATGTAAATGTTGTAATTGCCTATTATGCATACAGAATTTCTATAAATTTAATTTTCAACTTTTCTTAATTGCAGTATCTATTCATATTGTCCATTTTAATGATGCTGATCATCAGAGACAACCTCCATATTAAGGAGACCAAATAATCTTTTGGTAAACCATTTCAAATATTATAATAAAGCAAACTCTACATACCTGATTGGGTTCAAAGTTCAGATCAAAATATTTGTAATATTTATAAATTTAAAATAAAAAAGAAGGTTCATCAATTATGTTAAAACCTTTTTCTCTTCCACAGTTACTATGCAAATATGATTTTTCAATATCCCATATTAGTATTCAGAAGTGGAGTTTTATCTTTTTTTAATAGTCACATTTCAGAAGATAAGTGACATACATTTAAAAATTTAATAAATATTAATCTGAATTAAACACTAATTGTAGGAGAGTGATAATAATATTAGAAAAAATTGCTTCATCTTCATGTAGAATAAATTCTTAAATAATAAATGAAATCAATATGGAAAGGTTTTACCTTTTTGGTGCATTGCTGAGAATCTTCACCAAATTTACCATGTAATCCAAAGCATGAATTCCTATTGGCTCATCCATGGTTAGAGTGATGTTTACAGAAGCAAAGGTTTTTGAAAAATATTCATTCCAATCAAACTGAAATATGAAATATGAATATTAAAGCAGCCACTTTTCTTCATAGCATTTGGTCATCATTAATTTTACAAGTTGTATATAGCTTTTACTCTACTTTTCAAATCAGAATTTTTTGTTTTTCTGACATCTGTATAGCAAGTATTGTCAGTAGTAAAAATGTGCTGTTAAAAAGATAACTGAAACATAATTTTACAATTCCTATTCACTTTCAGAATTAATGTTGAAGCTTTAAAATTTAGTGATGAATAAATTTTAAAAAGTAAAAGTGACAGATTTTATTTTAGGTATGAAACAATATTATCCATAGCCGTAAAGGTAAGAATGATTGTCTAAATGAATTGATATTAAGGAAAAATATTCCTTGTTAAATAATTACATGTCATATATTTGATTCTCCAACCTTCATCAGGTAAATGTTTCTTGTGTAGAATTTGAATATTAGTTTTGATGCTTTGACATTATGATTATTGCAGTGATTGTATGCTAAGAAATATCTTTTTTCAGTATTGTTTTAAATTGATATTAATATCAAACCAGAAGCCAGAAAATTATTAGTCCAGGCTCTCACCTGGGCCAATGCAACAAAGTGCTTTTTCCACACTTTTTTGTCTATCATAAGCATTTTCACTTCTTGGGCAAATCCCAGGCCAGTATCTCCTTTAGAGTGTAAATGTATATGATATAACATGCATCATGCCTTTCCATTCTGTGCTTTAGATTTATAGAGGAGTAAATTTGATACTTCTTCTTCAGGATGTCATGCACCATAGCCTGATAGACAATTTTTCACTTAATTTTGGGAAATTTCTATAAACGCTAAATGTATTTTGTGATGTACTGATGTCACTTCATAAGAAGAACCACATTTTCTGTTTGTTTCATGTGTTCCAATGTCTTGTTGCTATTCAAGAGCATTGAATCAACAGTAGCTAGGAACCTTATATTGGTTCCTCTTTACATTCTTGGTTTCCAGATTTGAAACAAAAATAATCATGTAGAAGCATTCCCTTGCACTTTATCTGTTTGCTATTGTCCTCAACTTTGCTGCAAATCAACAGAGGGGTATGCTTAGGATAGAAATCACCATTGACAGGGAGATATCAAGTTAACACTGATTTTCATGATGACAACTGATAGCCAATAAATTTCAGCAATGAAATGTCACACATATGAAAAATAAAAAGACCTTTTATATATGAGTTTATAATATCAGAAAAAATGCATCTGTTAGAGAAAAACAAAGACAAAAGAATGAAAAATTGATAAATATGCTCATGCTTGTACTGAACTTAATTAAATGAGAAAAAGTGTATCACAAAAGAACTTCAGCTTTGAAAAGTATTAAAATATTTGATAGAATTATTTCTCAATATTTCAAAGGTTTTAATATTAGATTTATGCATTAATAGTGATATAAATGCATGGGTAAATATAGACTTCATAAATTATAAATACTGCACTGGCTAAAACTTTGTCAATGTTGGTGTAACTGTCTGTTAATTCTAATACTGAAGATATAACAAAATAACATTTTTGATATTTTGTTTTTTCTTCTTTTAAGACAGAATTAGACCCAAAATAGGACAAGAATAGTAGAGTTTTGTTAAAGACACTGGGACAGGGAATGTGATATTCATTCTCAGAATGTATACCCATGTTTCATAGATTATATAATAGCATTTGACAAAATACATCACAAAGAACTGTCAGAAATGCCAGGTAAGCATGATTTATTTGGGAACGATATTAGAATTATCTTAAACTACAAACTGCCTACATATAGATAGAAAATGAATTCAGTAAATGCACAAAAATAGAAAGGGGCATAAAACAAGGATGTGTTTTCTTTCCAGACTTATTCAATCTTTTGCAATCCTGAAAGAATCGCAAGTCCTACCAGGATTGATAATTGGCAGCCACAATCTTAAGATATAAAGATAAGTGTTGATAGCAGACATAAAGGAAACCACAGGAAAGTGAAAAACATCAATTGTAAAAAGACAAAATATATGGTTGTTAACAAAAGAAACTGTCCAATGTGCAAATTACTAATTGGAAATACCAAAATCCAGCAAGTACAACAATTTAAATATCTGGGAAGTGTTTTAACAAAGGATGGAAAATGTGACATTGAAATCCGAAGGTGCATTGAGATAGCAAAAGATGCCTTCCAAAGGCTAAGCAAAGTATTAAGAAACAGAAAAATTTCATCACAAAATCAAAGAAAAGAGAACTGAAGTGTTATGTAATATCAGTTTTCCTATATAGCGGTGAATGCTACACAATCTTATTACAGATGAAGATAAGATTTGAGGCAACAAAAATGTAGTTCTACAAAAGTATGAACTGAACATGTGAACAACACAATTTTAGAGAAGCTGAAAACAAAAAGGACATGTATATTTAAAATCAGAAAGAGTTAAAATTTCTAGGGTACATAATGAGGAAAGTAGGCTTAGTAAATTTGACACATTTATATTCGAGGGATAGAGGGAAACAAAGCATAACCGAGCTAATGTGTTTGTTTAAATGGTTGATAGAACAGGGATTAGAAGAGATAACAAAAAACAAACTTTACTAATAGCTACAAATGACTGGAAATTGTGGCCACCCATGATCACTCATGTCCTGAAAGAACATGACACTTAGAAGAAGAGAAAAAACAATACAGACATTTTACCGTTGTGCAATTTATAGAGAAAGTACTATGAATGGTCAAAATTGGTTTGCATAGTTCTGAAAATTTTTTATAGAATGAGTTAAACTGGTTGAAGTAGACAGTGATAAAATAATAACAATACATTGAGAATGATCAACATTTTATAGTACAGGAGATAGACAACATACTTAAAATACCAGATCTAGTGTGGTTCTTTTAAGTGAAAATAAACTACAAGGCCATATGTACAATTTCTATTCTTGAAACAAATTGTGGCAAGTTAGAAAAAGTGAATACTTTACAACATGGAATACAAGAGATTCTAGACTATCTTCCAAAGGTGATGACATTTATATATAGTGGGATTGGAAGTGAGTTCCTTCTAGAGAAGCAAATGATTAATTTAAGAAAGTACTGCTCCAGATTAGACTAAGTGAAGATAGCAGTCAATGCAAAGCAGCTTTAATTGATTAAGGGGGAAATGGGAGATATTTTATCAGAATAATTCTTTGGTGATCAGACAAAAATTGTTGCAGATTTGGCAGCTTTTCATTCATCCAACAAATACTGTACTTTGAATTTCTATTTATTTCAATCCTACAGATTTCTCTCCCAAACCATTTTTTCTACCATGTATAGGTCAAGAACTGAACACAATAAAGAGAAAGCATAAATTTCAAAATAGAGGTTATTTAATTAACATCACTGGCTTAGCAGGCAATGAATTATTGTTGAGACTGAATGTTTTAATAAAAAAAAAATTTTTATTGAGAAATTGAAAAGTTTTGGAAGATTGGAATTATGAAGTTGCTTGAAAAATGGCAGAATATATAAGAAAAAAAAAGTATATTTTTTCAATATTTTCTTTTATTTTCCTTAATAAACAATGCAAACTTTTGAGCCATTCAAAACATATAAATTCATATTTATGAATACATATTCATAAATAAGTATTTTTGTTCTGTTAAACAGTATAGAAACCATATTGTTTATTTCTCTTTTTGTTTGTCCCATTTTTAGGTTGGTCATTGTTTTGACCACTTCCAGTAGCCCTTAGCATGAGGAAACTGACAAAATAAAGGCATCACACCAAGCAGTAGTTTTATCTTCCTGATTTGATACCCAAAGTTAACCATCATCAGTTTGTAGTTTTTGTTAATTTTCTTTTTACACTTTACACTGTCTATTTTATTACCGTGTTATTATTCAGACATTTTTTTAATGTAGCCTTATTTGATACATTTATTTTTTATGTTTGTATCTCTCTGTGTAGAGCTCTTTCAACATATGTCCACATACACTGTTGCAAACTGTAACTTCCTTTTCTGTGAATTCACTGCAACATTAGAATGTATTCCTGTAGCAAACCTTATACATATTCATGTATATGATGTACTTGCTACCTTCTTTTACCCATTTATTAGACAACTGGTCTCAGTTTTATGTTCAAGCTTCCGGCTGCTGTTCACATATTCCTTTTTACCCGTGTTTGTATTTTCAGACTAACTAAGGTTAAAACTAGAAGAGAAATGAATACTTATAAATGAGACTCATTTATAAGTATTCATTTCTCTTCTAGTTTTAGCCTTTTGGTTCTTAATAAACCTGCCAATGTACAAAATTTTGTCTTTGAGACTATGCACACATAAGACACAAACGCATACTCTAGTGGAAAGAACAACTTTATATTTACTGTTATATTTACACTTGGTTGCTGCTGGTTCAAATTGTGTATTTACATATATTTTGTCATATATTTTGCAAAATTTCTTGGTTCCTAAGGAAGAAACCTCAAATGCTTCCTGCATTATTTTAATGATCTACTATAAGCAATGTTTGCAATAATGCATCAAGTGTGGGAAAAATGTAACAGAGCTCAAACTATGAATGTTTAGTTCCTGCCAAGTTCTTTACATAGTAAGATAGTTCTATTGGCTTTTTCTGTAGCTAGACCTAATGAAATATGTTACAAGAAGATGGCTGATGAAAATCACATAAAAATTGCCAGTAAAAATATAAGCAAAGATAATGCACTAAACACTGTAACATTAAACTTGTCTAACAAAAGCAATAGTTATTAGTTTAGCACAGAGTTAAAACATTTTCAAAGTATCTAGATAGCCAATGACTTTAGTTTAAAGTGATTAGTATTTTTGGCAAGTATGCATTATTGCTAAATGTGCCAAATACAAGATTACTGAATGCCCTGAAGAAGACTGTCTGGTATTGGTTTTCAAATAAAATTTCCACAACACTGCCTATATAAATCAAATAAAGTATTCTATCAATAATTTATAAAAACAAAACAAAATCCATACTGGTACTGAATGTGCATAGAAGCAGAGACTCTTGCATACACTTGAAATCTGATTTGCATGATGACCAAATAATTTCTATGAAAACGACAAACCTTACTAAAGGACAGGAGATCATGGAGAGTCATGATCGTTCATATCCTGGAGGGACATGCTACATAAAAGGAGAAATATTTTAGTGACTTGAAAAATGTTTAATATGTCACTTTTCAAGAGGATTTTTGCTAAAATGTACTAATATTTACATTTCCTTGAGATCAAGATTTGTTTCAGGCAATGAATAAAAAATACTTACATCAGGTATTTTCTGCATAAGTTCACCAAGCGTCATCTTCTTGTATACTTTTTCAATGTCTCTTCGTGCTTCACGAGGAACTGATATCTATAGTAAAAAAGAATATATATATATTAGTTAATTATTTCAATGAGATTAATTTTTTCATCAACAAAACCTGTAACAAAAGAAAATAAAAGCTGCTTTCTTTTTTTTTCATACATTATTATTGTGAAAAGTACAAGATTATTGATGAATATATTTGTTCAAAGAATTAAGTCTTTTCGATATATTTTGGGGAGTATATATATAAAGACCCTTTACATACATTTTCATGAGATAACTTGCTTTGGTAAGGAAATCTGGACAACAGATTGACATATTCAAATTTTGGGAATATTGATCATTCTACAGTGTACATCTTGAGTAAAACAATCCTGAAATAGTGGAATGACATTCTAAAATATGGGGAAAATTGTGTATAATAAAAAATGGCTGAGAACCATTGCTTCAGACTTGAATTTTGAATAGATAAAACATGATTACATATGCCTTTGAAAAATATATTTGTAAAAGGAGAAAAACTTGTTTATAAAAAGGTTGTTTTAACATAGATGTACATGACACTTTGGCTAAAAATATTCTCTCAAAATAAGGTTGATAACAAGCAATTCTGTTATTGCTGCTTTACTTCATGTAGAATGATCAGTACTCTCTCAGATCTAATATGATAAAAAAAAATTCAATTTTGTAAACTTACAAGACCATATCTCTCTTTAAAAATAATCCCCATTTTATAGCTACAAGGAAATCAACATTTATTAATTATTATGTTTAGAAATCCTGTTGCCAATGAGATTTAAAATATAAATAAAACATCATCTGACATGAAAAATCTTCCTTATAAATGGAAAAATTAAACAAATTGTTATCTTATCAGATTTAAGAAAACTTCTTTGTCAATATGCCTAAGGTTAATAAAAAGCCAATCATCTATTACTACATGAGCAAGATGAGAATTTAAATACTATTAAACTACAATGGAAAAGTGACCCAGATATGATTGACATGTGTTCTATGCAAGGTGTAAAGCAAAAATTTCATTTTTCATAAATAACGAATTTGGAGTTGATTCCCCTGGTCAAAAATTGAGTTGGAATACCAGGAGTGGATGGATAAGCCACTCACGCTCACTGAGGAGATTTAGTGGAAGAAGGGAATTCCCCAGAATTATTGAATTCTCTTACTTCGCCAGTTTGGACAAATTTCCATAAATATGAATGCACAAAACAAATTATTGAGTAGAAGAGAGGCCGACAAAAGCCTCTGACTTCAGCCTTGTGTTGGACTTTGCCAAATCAACAACGATGATATCACTTCTGATTTAGACAAGAGTTGGGCTGATAATTAATTTCATGCAAACTTTGATATAACCAATTATTGTATGAAGGACTGATATAAAACCAGTATTTACTTGAGGTTTATTTTTTTCCTGTATGCCATCGCCCTGCTTGAACCAGTCCAACACAAAGATACCTGCAACAATTCAATCTTTACTGCCTTATAATCAAATTTAAATTACAATGTGGGATTGAAACGGTCATTTCAGCAACCAGCTGCAGAGTTGGAAGTCTTTGATGACCAGGGAAGGTGTTGTACCATTACACAAAAGTTAATCCTCTTTATCTTGGTATATATTTTCTTTACTAAGTTCTTATTACAATTAATAATATAGTGTATATATCACTTTCCACCCTGTTAACAAGGATGTACAAAATATTATATGCATTTTAATATTTGAATTAATTATCCATGTTAAAACAGTTTTAATGAAACAAAAACCCTATTGAGACAGGAGTAAATGTGTCAAGTAAATTCAGGACCCTGGGGGATACCTGCATTAGTACCAAAAGATCTAAGAGTGGCTGTTCAGGATGACTTTCATTTCCTGATTTTCATAAGAAAGACTGAATCAATTAAAAAATTCAAGCAGAAATACCATACCATTTCAACTTCTGAAGACCAGTATGCCAAACTTTGGTAAACGCTTTCAAGATGTTCAAAGCAACAGTTTGAGCTTCACTATTCTTATCTAAAGCTTAATAGACTCTTTCAGCAATAATTGTTAGTACATCAGCAGTTGACCTAGAGAAGTGAAAGCCCTATTGCATATCTTAAAGAAGGCCCTGCAATGTGAGATGCTCAAACAATTCAGAGTTGATTAGGATCTCTAGTAGTTTTCTAAAAAGAAGTAGACAGCAGATAGTCTGAAGGGTCAAGGTTATAGACTGGAACAATAGAAGAGGATTTCCAACAAGCTAGAAGCAGTGAGGCATTTATTATACAGTTTAGAGAGAATGGGATCCGGTTAGGGAGCACATTTCTTAAGAAATGAACTTTCTTGGAAGAGGCTTTGGAATATTTTTAATAAGAAAAATTAGAAAAAAATTATTTAAGTAAAATTAAAATGTTACATTTTGGTATAAGATGTGTGGTAAAAATTCAACATAAATTTTCATTTGTTAGAAACAGAAATACAGATTATACAAAAATAAATTTGAACATTAGGAAATATCATGGGATATTTAATAACAAAAGTAACTGAAACAAAATTGTCACATCAATATAAACATAAATTTAGTCCAATGAAATCATAAAGGATGAGACATATCATATGAAAACTTTTTCTACTTTGTTATTTCTTTCCCTTAAAATTGTTCTTAATATATATAAAAAATTATATATTTTTTATATATATATATATATATATATATATACACACACATATATATATATATATATATATATATATATATATATATATATATATATATATATATATATATGTGGAGTCAATATACAAAACTAACATTAAAACTATTCATTGTGATTTTATCCTGTAAGAGTTATATATTTGGTTCTAGACTAAGAGAAATGAAAACATGAAGAAAAAGAGACTGACTTTAACACTGAATGAACAAGCAGGGGTTGAAATTTGGCAAAGTCAATTAGCCTAACCCATAAATAAATAATTATAAATATATAGTTGTTATGGGACCTTACTCATAATAACATAATGGACTATTCCATACGTAATAAATACTGCGCCTCAAGAGGAAGCAGAGAGTTCAGTCTGGAGTGAAGTCCATCAGGAGTCTGTCAGTCAGTCAGAGGCAGACCGAAACAGTCGCATTCAGACAATTACTACAAGACATTCGAATAGTGATACTGGTCGAGACTACATTGTTCTCCCTACTAAACCTGATTGTTCGTACTAACACTTTCTACTTCTCTGTATATATTCTTGTTTGTAATATATCTGTGTTATTCTATATTTGTGTTCGAGTTCTTCTTTATTGGTTCTACCTTGGACTATCACTGTGGACAAGGAACCGGACCATAACAATAGTCACATTGTTTTATATTATAGTAAAAGATGACAGCAACTTTTTAAACTTTTGGCTCAAACAACGGCATTTTGGTAAAATAAAACCTATAGCAATTTACTTTTACAAATAAAATTCGCTGCAAGAATTTTTTTAATGAATTTACATTTGTAAAGATAATTGTACTTTAATTTTATCTTTAAAGTACTAGATTAGAAATTATATTACAAATGATATTTTCTTAGTAAAGGTAATAATATAACACATATTGTTTATGAAAAATTTGACATTTGTCTAATACTTATAAAGCAGATATGAAGATGTCTAGAAAGGCCAAAACCTCTAAAGAGAAGCCTGTCACACATAATTTCTGTATTAGTACTAGTTGACACTACTTAAATAGACTTGTTCACTTGTAAAAAATAGGGGAAATTTTTTTCCGTGAATAATTTTTGTAGATTAGCATTCCTTAGTCATCAATCTATGGCATCATTGAAACCTGCATGTAATTTTTTTTAAAATAAAAAAAATTCTTTGGAGCAAATTTTTTCAGTAGTACCTGACTGAATGATGATAATTATTAATCTTAAATGAAGAATAAACAGATATATACTTCTATTAATATCTGTAAATTTTTGTTCTTTATTTAAAATAAAGCTTTTTGTAAAAAAAAAAAAAATGATGTTCTCCGGCAAAGAACATCTATGTCCAGATAACTGTAAAAATTCAGGAATCAATTGAACACTGTATTGATACTATGAAAAGAAATGACTTTTAAAATGATAAAAAAAATCAATATTTTTAAATTCTATCAAATGTTATGGCTTCAGGCAAGACTAATGAAGGCTAATCTACAAAAATGATTTCCAAAAAATGTTTCCTTATTTTTTATGAGTGGACCAGTCTACTTAAGTTGAGCTGAAATATTGTATGAAAATTATCTTAGGTAATATTCTACATTATGCAAACAAGTTATCTAAAGTTTATCTCAGGATATCAACTGAAAGATACTTATGATGACAGGAGAATTATTGTGGTGAGCTTGAGAAAATGTTAAGAATTCATGAGAATATCACCATTATTGAACATCATAAATACTTACATTCAAAAGATGATAATTGAAACATGTTTATACATCAACTTACATTTGTGTGTATGAAACTATAGTACCATAGATATGCCAACTGCCATACACATGCATTTGTATGAAAAGAACTTCTGGCAGATACAACTATCTACATTTTATTTAAAATTACTTAGATTGGAAAGCATTGTGCATTCTTGCAACTAAAGAGTTTTACAATACAGATTCTGTATCACTTCCTCTTATCATTGATTTAATTAAGAAAAAAAACATTTTTCCTTTTCTGAACCTTTTGAATTTTGACAAAGACAGTCTTGTCAAAACTTTGAAAATATCTTCCGGATATTAAAAATATTTCTGTTGATATTTTAATTATTTTCTCTTCCTTTTCATGATTAATGTTAGTCTGCAGATTATTTTTCCCCAAACTTGACAAACTCTTTAGAATGACTTGAAATTAACAAAATCTTTGAACTATTTCCTGTTATATTTTATCTCAAATCTAATAATTACTTAAAATTAACCTTCAGAAAAATGAACACTGACCATAACATCAAAACTTAAAGATTTAATAAAATCAACTGAACAAAAAATATAATCAAATTTATTGAAGATTTGTATGGCATGGTAAACCATTC